GTCCGTCCACGAAGCACAGCAGCATGTGTGGAGACAAACACTCAGAGCAGCTGTCAGCGCGGTGAACACACTCCCAATGAGAGTGAAGGAACCCGATGATTAACACACGACCTGGTAGTAAATGCATTAGTTGGTTACCTAGGCAACCAGAGCCAGGAATCTCCACTAGTGACCATCCATCAGCCTCAAATCGACGCACGGCGAATGAACCGCTTCCAGTGTGGCTGCAGCTTAGAGCCCATCTGAAGCAGGATACTGGTGCAGGGAATTATGGGTAAATTAAACCTTCTCAATACAGCAACAGAAGGAGAACCTGTTTGTGTAAAACAGGAAACACTTAAAGACGCTGAAAAGGCGCGGAGCCACTCTCTCCACCACCAACCTCCACAGATGGTGCTGTTAAGGTGGACCAGCACCATCCTGCCAGTCACCACGCGCTCCACCTTAACACCATTCTTGAACAAGATCCCACGATACATAAACTGCCTGTCCTCCAACCACGAGAGAGCAATCCACCATCATCACTCGACACCTAAATGCAGGTGTGGGCGACTCCAGGCCTCGAGGTCCTGAGTCTGCATGAACGAATCATGTGATTCAGGTGTGCTGACCCAGGATCTAAACCCTGCAGGACACCGGCCCTCGAGGCCTGGAGTTGCCCACCCCTGCCTTTATGCCTTTATGGATTTTCTTGAACTCTTTCCCCCTTAAAGACAACCTTCCCAGTACCCACATGACACCTCAGTATATATCAATAAAGTCTTGGTTTCATGACCGTTTGATGACGCTGAGCAGTTTCTGTGTTTTTCTGAGGACAGCTGGACTGGCAGAGAGCACCCTCACTGACGTCTGATGCAAACCCAGTCGTCTCGTTCTGTAAACAGCCTGAAATATGACGGAAACGCCTCAGAGAAGAGAAGAGCTTCAAGAGGAACTCCCACTCCCCCTTCAAGGAGTAAAGGGGTACATGTTCAAGTTTGGTGAAGATAAAAATGCAATTTTCTGTGTGGTGTGTTCATAGCTCCAAACCCCAGAGCTGACAGTGAGAGCTGTATCAGCCAGCTGTTTGTTATTCACACTCCACATCTGCAGACGTACAGAGACAGACACAACGCCACCTCCTCAGTCGATGGTGAAAGGGCTGCAGCACCTAAGATTAACACTTCATCTTCTACTTCAGACCAAGTCTTCTCTAACGTGGGCCCTTCTCTTATTTTGTACATATTCTACTGTTTATATTTTACTCCAGCACAGCTGGTGTGGAGCACCCACAATTTTGTTGCACATGTACAATGACAATAAAGAGCTATTTTATTCTATTTATAAAAACATAAAGTAATTTTTAAAAAAAGCGATACTGAACACAGATCACTGATGAATAAAAGGTTGGATCGCTCTTTATTATGGATGATTTTTCTCTTATTCATGCGCACAGTCACACGGGGCTGCAGCCTTTAGCTGACTAATTATCGCGTTATGTGGCTAAAGATAATAATAACACAGGCCTGTAACGCCTCACTGTCACTGTGCGAGTGTTTAACTGCCAGGAAAGAGAAGAAATCAGCACTCTGACTGAAACAAAGCCTCAAACAGAGGCTGACCAGAGCTGCTCACAGCTCCACGAAGGTGGAAACCAAAGATGGAAAGATGACCTCAAACCGGCATTTTTTTCTAATGGCCAGCAGGGGGCGACTCCTCTGGTTATAAAAGAAATCTGATTACAGTCTATGAGAAGACGAGCCTGCTGCTCACGTGATCTCTGAGCTCATTACACACCCTGCTGATGAGTTTACGGTCTTACTAAACACACCGAGCTCCTAACGTTTTAGTTCAGGTTCATCTGCAAGTCTGTACTATTAAGCGACTTTAACGAGATCCAGGATATCTTCCCCTTCATCATCGATCAGGCTCAGTGGTCACACGTAGATGGTTATCAGGTCCATGAGTCTCCTGAGGGTTTCCCAATCTGCTGCGTGAAGTTTGTTTGAAGCAGGAAGTAAAAGCAGAAAAAGTGGCGACTGTGAGTCCACAAATACAAACAGGCGTGGGATCAGATAGCAGCGCTTACAGGGCCGTAAAAACTAGAATCAGCAATAAAGTTGTGACTCAGAGTCTTTATCTTACTGATGCTCCATACTCTCTGAGGTCACATGGAACTTTCAGGAATTCTGACGCTAGTTTCCAGAGATCGTATTGGTCAGTCAGCGGTGACTTCACACCTATCGAGCGCTCATCTCAAACGTAAGTGCTTCAGAGCAGGTTGGGTCTGCAGCATCAGTTACCGTGGCAATTTATCCCAGTTAGATGTGACGCACCTTCACAAACAGGGTTCAACCTGAAGCTGCCTCGATAACCACAGCAAACCGCAGTGTCTTCCTGCTGCCACGATGTGAAGACATAACACAATAAAAATAGACTAAAACCAACACACAAGTCCCGCTTCCTATGACAAATCAAATCAGTTTATTCTTCTGCCCCACTGAGCCTGAGAGCAGATGTGTGACACCTTTAACCAAAAAACAACCTGGAAACTATTCAGGGGACGTGATTGAAAACAGTTTACACCATTCACAGAAACACACACACAACGGCAAGCTGAATGGAAACTGAAAAGGTAAATCAGAGAAGAGCAGAGATAACGTTCTCAAGGTTAAAACAAGAACAAAGTGGTTTAAAACGTCTTAAAAGGAAGACGCTCGCGTTGATGACGGATCTCCACCACGGGGTGATACCTGCAGCTCCAAAGCGGCGCTGCCCCGGACCTCTGTTAGCACTTCAATACTCAGTGACTCATTTGGGGTCGTACTGAATAAAACGGACTTCTTTCAGTTCTCATCCAAGAAGCTTCTTCAGTTCTAAAAACAAAGGCGGAGAGTCCCAGCTATTTAACCCCTGGTTGGGGTTAAAACAGTCTAGTCACCACCTTTTTTCAAGTTCTTCAGAAGCTGCACGGACATACTGAATCAAACATTAAGAACATTTCCCAAATCCTGGTCCTTCTCAGCTTTCACCGTCAGAATCCTTCTTTTAACATCATTTTAAAAACACCAAGATGACAATGGCAGCTCCATCTATCGTTTATACCATCAGCTTTGATTTAGTTTCATTTGAAGGAATTTATTAAGGAGCTTCTGCTTGGTTTAAAGCGCAGATATATCAGAGTATCATCAGCATAAAAGTGATTTAAATATGAGCACAAGGAACAGCTGCTAACATGACAAAGGGACCACAATGGAGCCCTGTGGTGCGCCACAAGCACAGTCACCGATACTGATGGAAATCAATATTTCTCGCATGCTCTGCTGTATCAAATGCAACAGAGAGATCAAATCGTGCAAGCTGAGCCGATTCACCCAACATCACCAGTACATATCATGGTATTAAAAGTACAGATTCAGTGGCGTGTAGCGAATCCCACTGAGACTGATGGAAACCAGCCTGTGATCTACTGATAACTGGAGCAAATTCTTATTTAAAGGTGAAGATGAAGGTTCACTGAGACAAACAGTCTGCCAGCTGTTCCCAAGTTGTCCAAATGTTAGATGTTACTCACAGCCGCCCACTGTGTATTTTGGTGGCAGTGGGAATAGCAGGTCCTTCCACTGGTTCAATGGTATTTTTATCATTCAACGTTAAAAGGTATTTGAGTCTAATGGAGCTTCACCCAGATAACACAAACCGTACAGCCCGGGAGTGAAATCCACCTGATAAAGACTGCTCCACCTGCCTTTAAACTGTGTGGCAGCTGTGGCAGGTGCAAAACATCTGGCAGGTGCCTCAGTCACACAAACATCGCCATGATGCCTTAAAAACGGGCTCCATGTGTGATTTCCTTTCAGGGGATAAAATCAAACCAGACGTCGACCTAAAGCCTCTCAAAACATTCAGAATAAAAACAGTTCGTGTACTTCTCTGTTAGTGTTTCCTGTTGGTTTTACTGTGGAAACAGCAAAGTCGGACGTTTCACAAGAACTTATATGGCAACAACAACGAAGACGAATTATTCACCGGATTACATAAATTGATAAAAAGTCCATAACTGTGGCTTAAGATGAATCTATTTGTGTGTGTGTGTGAAATCAGATTAAATCATCAGATTTTCCCAGCAGTGTTTGGCGTGACGTTATCTCCGATAAAAACAACTTATCTGGGTGGAAAAGTAACGCTCCATCCACACCCTGCAAACACGTTTTGAAACCCTCGATTTTTAAGCGATAACAACTCAGACTCGTCGTGTTTTCAGACCAACTGAAGCCTGATTCCGTTAACGGTTTGACGTTAAAGCGGAGATCGGGGTCCGCATCCGAACTGCTGTTGTCGGGCGCCTCCATACCTGACTGGCTTTGTGGAACTGCTTCTTCAGCCCGGCCACAGACATCCTGGACGAACGGCTTCAACCAACAAAATACTCCGGTAAAAACGACTCAACACACGGCCGACGGAGGCTGGGCTCAAGAACGAAGCAGCCGACACCACAGCTCCGCACTCATCAGTCAGACTCCGTTAAGATTGCAGCATGACCCCGAGCTCAGTGAAGCTCTAACGGCGGGAGGCCGGCCCAACCGGAAACTGCTTCAAAATAAAAGTCTCCGAGGATTTAAAAAGATAAATAATAATTAAGGCATGACATCACTGAGCAGCAGGGCTGGACTTGGATATAAAAAAACGTATATGAGGGGAAGAATATGATGTGTGCATGTGTATTTTTCATTTTGTTTGATTCCTGATATTGAAATTGTTTCTCGGTTGGTTCAGTTGTTGCTTGGTTCCTTCTTTGTTGCACACTTTAGCTGTTAGCAGTGGCTCCTGGTCAAAGTGGTCATGCATTTTACCTGAATCCTCGATTATTCCAAGATTCTTTATTTACCACTTGTCATACAAGTACAACACACAGTGAAATGTGTCCTGACACTGCAAAACATTATAAACAATAAGAAAATCAAAAATCTGAAATTCTAAATAAAAAACCTGAAAGTGTACATTGTGCAAAAGTTAAAGTGCTTGGTGCCACATTGGCACAGCAATGTGACCAAAAGTAACCAAAACTACCAAAGTAACAGACTGAGCAGAGTAATATAAGCATAGTGAAGCAGCATTATCAGTGTAGCAGCGTGTGACGTATAATAAATCAGACATGATATGAATTATGACAGTGAAAGTTCTGCAATGTAACAAGAATATGATGTAAAATCCAGTTTCAGACCCTTATGGTGATGCTATGAGGGGAGTGGGGGCATGTCCTGGCTCGAATGGCCTGAGGATTGAAGCTCCTCTTCAGTCTCTGTTTTTGCCCCGATGGTGTGGAACCTTCCACCTGATGGCAAAAAAAAGTTACTGGGATGGGAGCTGCTCTGGACCAACATCTCCTGGTGTAAATGTCCTGAAGGGAAGGGAGATGCTGTTATTGATCCTTTTACCTTAGTCTTAAAGTGTATATTTATTTCTTACGCTTCTTATATTTATTTCACTCTGTGAAGAGCTTTTCGGTCCTGAACACAGCTAATCCCAGGATGTGATGTTCTGTGTGAGGATGCTCTCCACAGCACCTGAATAGAAAGTCCTGAGGATCACTTAGTCCCTCTGTCTATGTTCTTAACACATTATTTTCACCTTCCTCTGCCTCTTCCTCACTCTGCTGTTGTCCCGCCTCCTGCACTTTTTCTCTGCTGATGCTAAATTTTACACATTTTGTTGACACATTTGGACCTTTTCATTACTTCCTCCAAGGTAAACTCTCTTTTACAAGTTGCATGAGGGGAGGAGTTCAGGGATTTGATTGGGCAGCGTCGGTATTGTAAATGAGCGAATGGATGCTGTCAGTGTGTGTTGGGTCGGTGGGTAAATCACCCATCAGGTCACCGGGAAAATGCCAGATTACCGGTCCAGCCCTGCTGAGCAGCTGTTTCTGTTGGAAAAAATTGGCTTAAAAACATATTTTATAGGCATATATGTGGTTCTCAGTGACATTTGAAGTTCCACATTTCTGAAAACCAAAAAGTACCTCTAAGCAGTAGCATATTAGGACTATAAATATATCTACAACAATACATTTTTAAAAAGAAAATGAAGGGTCTGGGCGAAGGAGAATAAATATAAAAGAAATAAACTCAAGGTGATTACGTCATACCTTTATTGGAAAAAAAATTCACAAAATATTTTTAATTGAATTTTAATTATAATTATTTAATACTGAGTGTGAACTGTTTAGTCACACTCACGCTGAGGCGCGCGTATTATTTTGGAAAGAAAGGACCGGAAGTTCCATTCACGTGCTCTCGCTTTATTTTCCGGGAGAGAGGGTTTCCTGACTCTCAGAGATGTCGCCACTTCTCAAAGACCATTGGGTGAGAGCGGGGAGAGCTGATGATGTCACCGTGTTCGTAAACAGGATGAACGTTCATATACTCGATATATTTATTTATTCAGTCCCACGCACGTGTCTGTGACGCACACGTCATCGTAAATCATGTAAATAAGCGTCAGTTCAGTTGCGCCTCCTGAGGTTCCCACGCGGATCCCTGGTCTGCATCAGCGGCTCTCTCAGCACATCCTGTATTTCGTGTGTGGGATTCGAGAGTCTCACCTGACCGTGAATCACGCTCTGCGTGTTCAAACAGCTCATAGATCTGAGACAGCGACGCGTTTCACTTTCAGTTCAACATTTCAATCCACGCACGCTCTGCTTTTT